ATTTTATTTGCGATTTTACGATTTACGATCTTATTTCTGCTTTTTGATCCTAGCTAAAATCTCAATTTTAACAACCTTAATTCTAGGGATGCAATACCATCAGCATCAGCCAGAATGATAAGCCAAAATACCCTTGGAACGGATTTCAAACACAAGTTGATGATTTCAAGACTATATTAGCCATCCAATCAACTGTGTAGCTCTCGGGCTCCACCTCCTGGTATTGGTAGTGCCAGTGATTTTCTTGATGATGTTCCTATGAGGTTGATGGCTGGTATTGTTAATGTTAAGCTCTAAAGCTAGAAGGAGAGCAACGCATAGGTCCAAAGTTCAGCAAGATCAATGCTACAATTCTCAAGGAACATGCTAAAACCAGCCATCTAGTTACCATGGATCCTAGAGAAATCGTTGATGACGTCTCTCTTTTTTCTGAAATTGTCCATCTCTGTATATTCTTCAAAGACTTTGTTCATGAAATTGTTGCACTCATCAGGGTCAGGCAAATTAGTATGGAGACTTTGAAGACTACACTTGTTTGGCTTTGAAGTGGGGCTGGTTTGGTCTCACATAACAGGTCCAAGCATATCTTGGCAAGGCACTATAATCATAATAATAATCGGCTTCTGGATTGCCTACCTGCAAGATGGATATCATCTTAGTACATTATGTTCATGTATGCTTGAGATGTATAAGATAAGTACGTGCAGCCTAATGGTGCTGATCAATTTTAGCCTCCAATCCAGTAAAGCATAAACATGGGGGATTATTCTTACCATAAAACCTTTGAGATGATTAAGTACATTTGTATGTCCTTGTGTTGATCATAGACAAACCCTGCTCCACAAGTTATGGTACATAGTGGCTTGCAATAATAAGGAATGATTTACAAAGCATTTACATAACTATATGTGCAAATATGAAAGGGAACCCCAAAACTTACTGCCTGCGAAACTCCCACCTTACATGTAGAACTCTTGGGTTTTGATTGGTGGATATCTCTAAAGCCAGTTCAATAGGAGATTATGGGCACTGTGGACTAAGTCCAAGAGAAACTTTCTCTCTTGTCAAATAAACCCACAAACTTGGTGACAGCAGAAGGCATATTGGTTTAAAACACAACTCTAACCAGGGATTCCACAATAAGCAGATTATTGGCTTCTGCAGGAGAAAGTTGAATTCAGCTATATATCAAACTATCAAACAATTCAAATGTCCCGGGTTTCATTTGAACAGATGGTTGAATTGTACAAATGGAAATATCAAACTAGGTGAAAAAGATAGCTAACCTCTATTTCAATCATACCTATTGAAACAAAGGCGAATTCCTTCTGCCAACTCTAAGAGGATTCGCCTCCACAGCACAGCTGCATTGTACCCTATTGAGGAACCAGCAGGTACTTCAACACCAGAAGGACAGTTATCCAATTAGACCATACCCAAAGCACCAGAAAAATAAAAAGGCTAATTTTTATACCTATATATACATTCATATAACCTCCATTAATCTCACCCTTGTACAAAGAAATCCCAATGGCCAATTCTTCAAGCAAACTTGCTACCATAAGGTTGGAGAGTCCCTCACCCAAAATGGAGAAAACAGGTACCAATGATCAGGTAAACAAATAACAGCCATGACATCCATTAGTGACCACATTGGAGAAAAGACAATATTAAATCCTCTAAAACAGAATCTAAAACCACTTAATCTTGGATGGAAAAGTGCAAGCAATTAATTAACAATTTATTGAGACCATGACAAAGCAATTGATGGATCACTCTACTTTACTAAAATGAAGTAAATTGCAAAAATTTAGAGTGCTGCAGCTAGTGCCAAAACTTCAGTGAGATTTAAATCAGCAATACTGAATCAGATTTGAGGCCCAAAAAAATAAATAAATAAATAAAATTGAATCATGAGAAGAGTTAAGACATGTCTTACCATATTAAAAACTTGACAAAATAGGATTGGTACTAGCAAGTTTAAATAAATTATTAAGTTTAAAAAGTTAATTTAGAATGTGAAAATTAAGAGAATAACAAACCATTGCTCAAGGAGATTCTCTTCAATTCTGTTTCGTCATGTAAGTCCCAAAGTAGGTTAATTTTGGAAGAGTGAAATGTAGCTCTTCCATCCATTGTCTAATTTCCTTCCTCTTTTTCTATGCTATTACTCTTTGCAATCCTAAACGTGAAGATCCCGTAGCTTTTCAAAGGGAAACAAATTCTCCATTCTTGAACATCTAATAATTACACAAAACTTTTTAATTAGAAAAAGATGTGAGAGAATGTTGGTAAGTACAGGCCATGCGTGAGTAGTTGCTCCTTTCACTTTCACATGATCACACATGAATCACCGTGATTGGTAATTATAAAGGAATTAGCATCCACTTAAGAGAGATAAACATCATATGGAATTTGTTAAAGTAAAATCTAAAAACACACAAATCTTGAAAATTTACCAGTGTAGAATAGGAAGGTAGAGGCAGTTGGTACAGAAGAAAGCACAATCTAAAAGGAGGAAAGATGGTGAAGGGCTGCAGAAGTGTGTTCTGGCAGGGAACTTAAGATGCTCAAGTCAGCCACGGAAGTTTTTAACAAAATCAATATATCAAATATGAGAGAAATTCATACCTTGGGTCTGTTATGGCCTATGTATAGGTTGAATGGCTGCAAGAGTTGAACAATAAGCCAACTATACCAACTCATATATATCCAATTCACATAAACTCCATTAAGTCAGATGCTGAGCACTGGGGCTTAGCTTCAGAGAAGCAGTATGTGTGAGCCCTGCAACAAGGTTCAATAGGTTGTGTGATACAGAGAAAACATAGTAATGGCATTTGGATAAACAAATAAGAACCATAATATGAATTAAGGAGCACTTTGGTGAAAAGACAATATCAAATCCTTAAAACCACTTAATATTTGGATGAGAAAAATAGAATAAACTAATTACCAGTGTAGAGGCAGCCAGAGGCAAGAAAGCACATTGAATCATTCTAAATTCTGCTTACTATTTTGGACTTGAAAATAATTGTTGATCTCCAAATATGGGTGTGTTGGTTGCAGAAAATCTAAAGGTAAGTCACAGAGACTATTAAGTTAGCAACAAAAGAGTTTAACTAAATTGATAGATCAAATAAATATGAGAGAAATTCATATAATTGTATATAATTATATACATACATACCTAGAGTCTGCTGTGGCCTACATATGTATATGTGGATTCAATTGCCACAAAAGTTGAACAATAATGTGATTAAAGAAATTAAGATGTTGAGGTTGATATATTTAACAGTCACAAAATATAAACCAAGAAATTTCTCAAATCTGTTTTACTGCTTATTACAACACAAAATAAAACAAATATTACTTCAACAAGCATTAATTAAACAAAGTTTATCCATAGTACAAAACAACAAATTACAACAGGGATTTCATTGGATTGAAGTGAGTGTGAGTCCCATTTTTTTTTCTGTTTTCCTTAGCTGTATCTGTTGTTGAGTTGAAGAAATAGGTTAGAGATGGTAAGAGATGCAGCCTGCACCAACATGTATGGAGAAATTACTTAATTCTAAGGATGCAAATATTAGTCGGCCAAATAAAAAAAAAGGGGGGAAAAGGAAAAATGTTCAAGAAAAATATAAACATATATACCTGCGCTGGGCATTAGAAAGTGGACAGAGATTGATCAGATTGATAATCAATGGATGACTCAGGAAATCCATTTAGGTGCTTGCTCCCTATGAATGAATAATTTAAAAAGGAATTAGCATCCAATTAAGGGAGATAGACATCTCATCAGAAGCAAATCAACAGAAATATAACTGAGCTGAGCTGAGCTGTGCATTAGAAACTAGTCAATTGATAATTGAAACTCGTAGAGGTAGAAGGAAATGCTAAACAGAACTATATTTAATAGATACCCAAGTGTCGCAGCTGTGAATAATCAAAAAAGGAATTAGCGAGACAGACATCTTATTAGCAAATCAGTCAAGATTAGATAATTGAGCAAATAAATGGAGATTAACACTTGGATTCATTCAGAAACAAGAGATACAAACATTTATTTATGAAATACCAGTGAGAGAGAAGGAATGGAATGCAAGTGATAGAAAAAGGGAGATATAACGAGACTTACCTACTACATTGGAGGAAAGGTAGGATGACATTCTTATCGTCAGGATTCTCCCACTCCAACGATTCCCACCATTTTTTTGGATTGAAAATAGAGATATATTTGACAGCAGGAAGAGATGGTTGCGCATTTTCCCTTCCAAGACAAAGGGGAATCCTCTTTACCTTCAGACAGGCATTGATATTGATGCTATTGAGAGATTCACAAACCATTATTCCTCTTTCGGAGCAGATTCTCTTCAAATCTAGTAGGAATTGCAACTCCAATATCCTTAATTTTGGAAGAGTGATCAATATTGGGGTAGTTGTTTGATTTCTTTCCTCTTCTTCTTCCCATCCTATTATTTCCTCCATTCCCCAACAATGATTCACCTCAATCAGCTCCAAGTTCTGGAGGCCCTGACCCTGCAGCAGCTCCCATGGAAAAAGCTTCTTCAATTTTAAACAATTGTATACCCTCAGCTGTTTAAGATTGGAAAAGATGTGAGGGGATATTGTTGGTGCAAGCGATGCTCTTGTTTTTTCCACTTTCACAACATCCCGCAAGCCAAGCAAACCCTTAAGAGTTAGTACTTCAAGGTTATTCATAACTGTCGA